TATAGTAGTTTCCATTTTCTTTTCCATTATCCCAAGATTACCCCAATATACTATAGTAGTTTCCATTTTCTTTTCCATTATCCCCATATAACCCCTATATAACACCTATATAACCCCTATAATCCCTAGAGTTTCCATTTTCTTTTCCATTATCCCCATATAACCCCTATATCACACCTATATAACCCCTATAATCCATATAACCCAAAGGGATTAGGGTCTAGGGATGGTAAGGTTTAGGGTCTCCTTAGCGCTCCTTGCAGCTGCGGCGCTGTGCACCGTGGTGCGAAAACTAACTCATCGTGGGGCGTGTACCACACATCAGAGGAGCCTGAGGCTTGCCAGTGCTGGGGTCTGAAAAGGTCGGTTCAGGGTTTAGTGTTTGCAGTGTTTTAGGTTTAAGGACTAGAATGACTAGAATTTGGGGTTTAGGGTCTAGGGTTGACCTGTAACCAAAACTACCTACAGTTTTATGCAGTAGGCTAGGTAACTTTACCAAGCCGTGGGCGCAAGGGGCTGCAAGTAGGGTTCAGGACTCACGTGCACGGAATTAGAAAGGATTCCTGACAGCTCTGGGGATTATCCAATTGAGGATGACGACGGGTCTGGGGATTGAATTATACAAAGGATTTCTGAGGGCTCTGGGGCCCACTATATACCCTACATGTACCATTAAGGGTCCCTAAAATCCCCTGAAGAGGCCTAAGGGCCCATATTATGTGCCCATACTTCTAAGCTTGAGATAAACCCTAAACCACATTGGGGGCCCATGCCCATACTTCTTAACCTCAGATAAACCCTCAAAGCAAACTTTCTATCTACCTCGAGGCCCGGACGCATGGGAGCACCTGCACCGCTAGAGGCGCAGTTGGGATGTTTTGGGGGTATGGAGGTTGATGGTTGAGGGTTTCGGGCTCAAGGTATGGAGGTTGAGGGTTTGGGGTTTCGGGTAGGGAAGTTTAGGGTTTTTGGGGGATTTGCAGTATGTCTGGCTTTGCACAGTTGGGGGCCTTGGAATAAGTTTTAGGGCGTAGGGTTTAGGGGGGCCCTAGTTGTTCCAAACCCCGATATGTGCGTTCAGGTTTTGAGTGGAAAAAGGGGTTAGAAGTGTACAGTGTCGAGGCTTAGGGCATTTAGGGGCTAGTGCGTGCTTTGGGTTTTATGGCTCTAGCGCTTAGGGCTTCGGATGGGCTTTAGGGGCTGTCATCAAGCTCATTTCCGGGGTGGCGCATGTAGGGAAGCACAAATACTATGTAGGAGATATGCGTCTTGCAGAAAAAACCTGGGGTGGTTTGTCTGGGTCTTTGCAATAAAACCACACTCAAGATGCTGTTAGTCTTCCTTGCTCCCGCCAAAAAATGGCATGAAGGAACAGCTCCAATCGAAGTAGACTGGGATACTTTTTAAAGGGATTTTAGGCTTTAGGCTTCAGACGTGCTTCAGTCTTCTCAATCCGAATCAGTTGAAGAGGAGAGCTACTGCAAGACCAGGAGGGAGCCGAAAGAGTCAGAATAAGGTTTGGGGGCTTTGATATTGAGGTTTTATTGGGGATTATGGAAAAGAAAATGGAAACTACTGTATTATAATAGGGTTCTAAATGTAGACAAACAAGGGCCATAAGGTTATGATATTGGAATCCTATATACACTCACTCAATACCATACTTAAACCTTCACTCCCCAATTCAATATAGACCGTAAACCCTAATCTTATCCCTTAAACCCAAAGCCTACAATTCTGCCAGACGAAATCTCTTGCCGGCGCAGAGAACATGTGCAAAAGGGATGGTCCCTATTGTCTATGCGAGTTTTAGGGTCTAGGGTATCGGTTGAGGGTTGGCCCCTATCCGGTCTCCTGTTGAATCTCATGACCAGCCTAGGCATGTTGCTTTTTCCATAGATTCAGTCCGACAGTACGTACTATGACCCTATGTAACCCCTATACTAGGGTTCGATTTGGGGACCCTATACAAACTAAACCTCTATGGCATTATAAGGCATATATAGGAATTTGGGGTTCGAAAACTTAAAAGTCAATTTCAGATTAACCCCTGTATAACCATTAACCACCTAAACCCTAGACCCTGAACTCTTAATCACCTAAACCCTAAGTCCCTAAACTCTTAATCACCTAAACCCGAAACCCTAAACTCTTAATCACCTAAACCCTAGACCCTAAACTCTTAATCACCTAAACCCTAAGTCCCTAAACTCTTAATCACCTAAACCCTAAGTCCCTAAAAACACCCATGGGCAAAGTCTAGGCCTCACTGCTGATGGCACTGCACACCAGGTCCGCCAGGACCCCCACGAGGGCCGTCCTCCTGGATGTAAATTTTAGGGTTTTGGCTTTTAGGGTTCTAAGGTTTAGGGTTTTAGGGTTTTAGGGTTTAGGGTTTAGGGTTCCAAGGTTTAGGGATTTATGATTTTAGGGTTTAGGGTTTTAAGGTTTGAGGGCTTAGGGCTTTAAGGTTTTAGAGTTTTAAGGTTTAGGGTTTCAGGGCTTATTGTCAAGGATGCTTAGAGATTTGAAGCTCAAGCCAAACTTCACCGAGAGGGATGAAAGAGCAAACCACCTCTCCCACGCGCTCTGAGATTATGTCCAGCAGTCTTTAGAGCTGCGGATTTTCTGAAGTCTAAACCCTAAACCCTATATAACCCCAGTGTAGTAGTTTCCTAAACCCAACACCTATATAACCCATTAGTTTGGCACTGTCATGAGGGAGGGGTTGATTGTCAATCAAATATTGCAGATCTTATCATCCCTATAACCCCTTTAACCCATATGTAACCCCTATACTATAACCCTTATACAACCCTATAACCCTTTCATTTCTGCCGCCAGGCTCGTGAGTTTGAGCCACCGAACCAACCATTTGGGCACGCACATCTCAACACACATGGAATGCTTGTTTGTTGGGAATGGGGGCACGAATCCCTAGAGCAACCACCCCCCCGCCCCAATTAAAAAAAAATGTCGTAGTTTGCTTGTGCTTTGCCAGTTCTTCTTTCTCTACAGAGAACCGAGGGGTCACCCCCATCGTCTCCAAAACCTCGAAACTACAAAGCGGCGAACGCATGATGCGCCTCATCATCATCGTAGGCCTCACCGCCTGCTTGCATGTTGACCTGCAGTTGGCCATCGATCGCGCACATGGTAGGTTTTCAAAATATGTATCCCCCCAAAACTACTACATATTGTGATATATTACTACATACTACTACACATTACTATACATTACCATATAAAGGTAGGTTTCCTTTTGGCTTCCGATCGCCCTCTATGGAAGTGTATTCCACAAATCTTCCTTTCCCAAAAACCCCCATGTGAGCTATAGTCTAAACGCTTAGTATCCCCCTTAGCAACCCCTATAGTACTCCCCTATATAACCCCCTTTGAGGAGTTGAGACCCTAAACCCTATATAACCCTATATAATCCCCTTTAAGAAGTTTAGACTATAGCTCGTCTGTGAATCAGTGCTCGGCTCAACAATGTCTAGGAATCTCTGACCCGTGTGCTCATCCACTTTCCCACAGCAGGTCCCAGCACCCTCCCTATATCGTTATATTTATAAAATATAAGTATAAAAACAATATATAGTAATATATGGTAACATATATTATTATACAATGATATAGTCATAAATGGTAGTATATAGTAGTATATAGTGAAATATAGTAATAGGCCCTAAACCCTAGAGCTGCCTTGTTGGAGTTGAAGGACTGCACCGGGTCTATGTCAGTCACGGTGTGGATTTCCACATCCTGTGCATCCTGGCACCAAGATCACAGTTTTCTGCAGGGAGGTTTGGAAGAAAACAGGAGTCCCCTACCTCCCTGGAACCTTAATTTTTAGAAATAACAATAGTACTAATAGTCAAAATAGTACTAACAGTAACCGTGATAGAAATAGCAAGAGTAAAGGCGATCACCGACACAGAGCCCAGCACGCTCCTCCGGCCACTTTGGCACGTTCAGCGGCCTCACAGCGCATCCTCTATATAGTAACATAGTAAGACATAGTAACATATATCTATATACATATACACGTACAGTAAGATACTGCAATACATGGTAAGATATATTCATGTGTAGTAATATGTAGGTGTGTATATATAAATACCTACCTATTACTATCTGGTACCATATACTCATATATGATCGTATATACTAATACATAGTTTAAAAAAAAAAAAAAAAAGAGAGAGAATATGTGGCCAACATACAGCAATTTATAGTAGTCAGCAGGAAGAACGCTCTAGGACAAGGCTGCAGGTTGAAAAAAGAAAAAAACTGCAGGCTAGCTTCCATTTTCCTTTCCATTATCCCTATATGATCCCTACATAACCCCTTATAACCCTAGCTAATTAATGCGTTTCTTCTCTTTCTCCCAGGAAAATGATGCTGCGGTCTCCACATGTCACTCAGCCCAAGTAGGCCCAAGCTGAGCCCACGGCGGCGGCAGCAGTTTTGCCATGGCCTCAGGCTGCTAAGACTACACTCCCCAAAACTAACATGGAAACCCATATAGCCCCCTTTTGGAAGGACTGTAGTCTTTATAGGGCCCTTTTTGGGGTTTCCATGTTAGTTTTCGGGAGTGTATGTGTGAAGAAGATCATAAACACGCAGCATAGCCGCAAGCTACAAGTGGTCACTCTGCTTGCTGCCACCTTACATTCCCCCTTTAAGAAGTTTAGATTCGGACCTGGCAGGGGCAGAGAGGCAAGAGGCAGACCAGTACAGTTTGAACAGCGCCCCGGGATAGGAGCCGTAAGGACGCCAAAATCTTCCATGACCTTTTCGTCATTTGGACAACTGATAATGCTCGCCGCTCGCCCCCAAACGCAATTAATATGGTTGTTTTCATTTTCTTCTCCAATACCTTATACAACCCCAACATACTATAGTAGTTTCCATCTCATTTTCCATTATCCCAATATAACCCTAAACCCTGAACCCTAAACCCTGAACCCTTAACTCTAAACTTAAACCCTAAACCCTGAACCCTAAACCCTAAACCCCAATATTCCCCCTTTGGGTACTCATCCTGAGGTTGCAGCCGTCTGGTTCTCTGGAGACAGTGAGTCTGGGAACCTGCGGCGGAGTGCACAGTCATGGCTTGGGCTGCAAAATGAAACCATTTAGGGGTTTAGGGTTCAGGGTGTAGGATGTGTATATATATGTGTGTATACCTAGAGTCCCCCTGAGGCAGATAGAATATGGCTTTGGGTCTACTATAGTAAGATCCCCATGTACCCTCTAGTCTATCTACAAAAGGGGGACTATGCATACATGTAGGCGGTTTGATAGCGATTATACAGGGTTATATAAGGGTCATGGAAAAGAAAATGGCATCTACTATTCAAATATCTGAACTCAAACCAACTTACCGGGCGAACGAATGGAGCCATAGGCTTGCACAGAACCATCCATCCGAAGTACAGCGCGCTGCCAGTCAAGGAACTTACCTTTGGTTAGCTAGGAATGTTGGGATGGATCCTTATAATAGTAGTCCCTATATAACCCACTATAATACTCTCCATTTATCTTTTCCATTCCTTCATTCCCAGCTAGCCAAAGGTAAGGGAAAGGGTCTTGGGCCAAAGCTCGATGGTAAGGATCAGGAACAGGTTGCCATGGACAAACCTTTGCCAGGTTCAGAGTAGTATTGTTTCATTTATGACTCATCATGCAACATCATGCAACCAGGCGGCGGATTTTTGTATGTCGGCATGCCCTCGTCCTTGACAGCCTGCCACGAATGCCGCAGTGCTGCAGAAGATGAACGAGGAATGCGCAGGAAGCATTGCTCTTTTTTGAGATCCCACGACCCTAAACCCTGAACTCCGGATCTGGGCGGCCTTCATCATGCGGAAGGCCTTCTTGGCCTCAAGGCACAAGGTACTTCGGCATGGAGCAGATCAAGGAATCGCTGGCGCATACAGTTCCATATGAGGTTGGAAGTAGTGTAAGGTTCCAGATGAGTTTGATGAACCTGATTCCAATTGACTGTCGGCAGCTTCTATGCACAATTATGCACGTCTCACATGTCTGAACTGTGCTGCGCCCGAGAGGCATCTGGATCGGAGACAAGATACCTCAGGCTTTGTCGCTTGGCACTCAGGGAGGGGTGGGGAGGGGGGGGATGCCTATCTGAAACCAACATAACCCCGTGATATAGAGGACTCTAGGAAAGTCGTGCTTTCAAGTGATCACCCCTTTGCGCTCCTAGTTTCAGACCAGCTCAACTTCTCGAGTCGCACGACTACATCTAAATGCAACCTGCCACACTTCCTCAATACGTGGCGCTGCGAAGTTGCTACTACCATTTTAATGGCCACTTATTTGCTAAAATCATAGGGTCCTAGAAGAAAGGACGAACATGAGCCTTCCCCTCCACTAGACATGTCTCTGAGCGTTTTCAGCTGGTATGGTAATGAAGGAATTGCGCATAACATTCTTCTTCGGATGAACCATCATGCTCTTCTGGAAGGGTCAGGGGAACTTAGCAAGTATACTTCTATAACCGCAATAGGCCGGCCACATAATAACTCTTTTCACGCTGTTATTAACTGCTGACTAAGTCCCCTGACGCTAGACCCTAAACTCTTTTGCAAAACATACATATATAAATATGGTCCTTCTCCCACCGGAAATTCACCGCTATTTACATATTTGTTGATACGTCATCTCTTGCGACTGGGTAGCAAACCAGGAATCAGGCTTTCCCGTACTGAACTGCAAGCATGCTAGATATAATGCATTGCAAGATCACTGTCATAAGCGTTCGCCTCGTATGCATATTCCCGCACCCCCACCAGAAAACAGTGGCTTGTTCGCGGCTTCATTCCCAAAACAGTCCCAAAGTGGTAGGTCCATTGGAGGGTAGCATATAAATACATATATATATATGGATATATGTGTATATATATATGTATGTATATACATAGTAGTTTCTACCTTCTCCATGATTAGCACACTTGCGGTTGTTGCTGTTTGGTGCCTGGGTTGGGAACCCCTACGATCAAAGCACTGCCAAGTTGCATCGTGCTGCCGCGGCGAGTCTTCTTGGCCTTAGGATATAGGGTTTTAGGGGTCTGTATTCGGGTTTAGGGTTTTAGGGGTCTGCACTAGGGTTTAGGGTTTACGGGTGCCAAGTTTAAGGTTTTTTGTAGGGTATATACCCACGGATTCCACTTCATTTTCCATTGTTTCTTGCATTTGATTCTCCATCATTGGGGTATTGTACCCCAAACCCTTAACCTCCAGCAAAACCTAAATCCTGAACCCCAAACCCTAGTGGGTTTAGGGGGCATTCGGAGTTTATACATGCAAGCCGAAACCCCCAGAATGCCAGTACAAATCCTGTTAGACTGGACCTACTGCGCAATTCCGATGATCACTGCTATATGGGTATGTCCCAAAATGGGGGGGGGGGCGGGCAGGGTGGCCCTTTATTTTATGAGGACCTCTACAAGAGACCCCTGGACTTGTAGCTGCAGCTTCCACTTTCTCCTTTTCTGGCCCATCCTACCCCTAAATCCCAAGCAAACAACTCGAATCCTCAACCCTAAACCCGAAATCTTAAATCCTAAGCCCTAACCTCTAATCTCTAAACCTTGGACCCTAATCCCAGAACCCAAAACCGTAAACCCCTCATGCTGGTAATTATTTTAGGCCCTAGTCAAAGAGACTAAGCTGAGCTCGTGGCCTGCAGCGCCTCTTCACGAGAGCACTGCTTGAAGTAGGCACCTCGGTAGGTGCTTCACACGGTCGAGGGTTTAGCGTTTACGAGGTTTGAGGGTTTGGGATTTTAGGGCTTAGGGTTTGGAGTTTGGGGTTCAGTGTTTTGTTTAAAGGCTCCTTGGGTTTAGGGCTTTAGAGTTTAGATCTTTAGGGTTTGGGGTGGAGATCAACTTGCAAAACTCCCTGCCAAATACTGCGACGACTGGTCAAACAAGTGGCTAACTTCACACTGCTCAGTAATGTATAGAAGCCTATATGTGCCAAAATGATGTTTGAGGTCTATTTGAGGTACCCTACGTAAGACCATAGCATTGGCAATTAATTCTTAAGCCCGAAACCCTGAATCCTAAACCCTTAACCCTAAGCCCTTTACCCTTAAACCCTTAACCTCAAAACCTTTAACCCTAGAGCATCTAGGCCCCCATAGCACGGGTCGTCTCTCAGCTGCACGCGCTGGCCATCTACGACGAAGCATCCCACATCGATGCCCTTTCCTGGGCGATTGCAGGACTCGCTCAGGCTCAGAAGGGAAAAAGGAAACATAACCTCTTTATTATCGGCATATACTATATCCCCTTATTCCCTACTAATCCCCAGCAAGAGGATCTCAGGTTCTAGCGTTTAGGATTGGGAACTGGTACGGCAGCGGTCTGCGAGCACCGGTTTTCTGGGGTTGTAAGACAAAGTCAGATTGGGCCCTCGCTCTTGCTTGGCAGATTCACATCCACGACTGTCCCTGTAGACCACCTATAGAATATAGAAGCACGCCCACAACTGCAATGCTCATAAGCTTCATCTTGTTGTTGGGAAGGCTTTGGAATGTACAATAGCCTCCGAGCAAACTCGTCCTTGGGCCACGACGCTTGAGCTGTGTTTCACACGCCTTCTTCAGCGTGTCAACATCGGTGGTGTCTGCCTATAGGTTTGGATATGAAGGTCGGCAGCTGCCAAGAAATCGGCACCACACAAGACATGCGAGAAGGAATGAAATTAAAAGTAGAAGTCTGTCTCCAGCAGCCTGTGCGACGTTCTCGATGGATGGGCAATCCGCATCTTCGATGACTTCCCACTCAGTCTTGCTGTCCTGCGGCTTGAAATCTCAGCGCAGATCATAGCTTACTGGTGAATAGTAGGGAAAAAAGGAATTTGATCCCTATGTAATCCCTATATAATCTATGCCCTTATTCCTCACTAATCCTAAATCCTGAGCCCCATATAAATATATGTATATACACACGTAAAGAAGACTTTGTACCCTACCAACCCCCCTTAAGATAGATTCAGTTGCTGAAGCCCTCAAGCGGTTGCTCCTCCTTGGCCAAGGGATCAAAGCCCTGGGCCATGGGTTTCACGATCTCACCTGCAGTTTAGGGTAAAGGGTTAAGGGTTCAAGATTTGGGGTTTAGGGTTTGGGAATTGGGGTTTAGGGTTTGTGGTTTTGGGTTTGGGGTTTAGGGTTCGGGGTTCAGGGTTTAAGGCTTAGGTTTGTTGCTTGACCCTAGCAGCTTGGGTGCTGCCTTTTGTACATCTGCTCTGATGGGAGCCTAAGGCGCTGAGCGTTCGAGAGTGTCGAAAGTAGGGATATGACCCCAAGAATGGAGAATCAAGTGGAAAAGACAATGGAAACTGAAATGGAAGCGGGCGTAACTACAGAGGTTTAGAAGGATAACTAATTATATTATGGTCCTGGTCCTAGATTCCTAAACCCTCATCCCTTAACCCTAAACCCTCAAAACCCCTAAACCCTCAATCCTTTTTGCAGGGATGATGCCCTGCCTGGCTGCGTCTTGATCAACAGCTTGCGGCCATCAAGGTGCGTAAGTTCCATCTGGAAGCCGCACAAGGCCTGTGAGTTGACTAGGGCTTTAGAATTTAGAGGAATATAATCCCAATATAACCCCTATGTAACCCCTATATGACCCTATGTAACCCCTATGTAACCCCAATAAAATCCCAAATTTAGAGTTTAGGTTTTAGGGTTTAGGGCACTACCCAAATACGGTCCTGTATTTCTTATCTATTTACGGCACAGGGTAGGTACCTCTAACAGAGCTCAAAGTGCGATCTAAACCTGTTTCGTATCCGCCTCAACCAGTGAAATCTTGCGCTCCACATAGAGGTCGGCCCCTTTCCTCTTGAAGTCTGCGTGCTCCTTGTCAACATTAGCAGCGGAGATGCTTGCTACCAGAAAGCCCAGCATACTCTGACAGCAGTTTCCGTGGCCGTGCCTGCTGCTTCAACACGAAGATCACATCTCCAGCATCCGCATCCGGGTGCTCGTCAGCCATTTCCCTGAACGTGACCTGGCAAATCCACTTCCAAGAGCCATGTAGCATGCACGTCACTCCGCTCTGCGCATGACATCAGCTCAGGGTTGCACCTTATGGCCATCAGGGGAACCTTTCTGCACGTGGACCTCGAGCACCTGGCTCAAAGACAAGCATGGCACCGCAGAGACGTTCGGAGACTCTCAGACATATGAAGAACCTGCGTCTGCGCAAGAAAAGCAGGATGCAAGAAACGAGTTTTCGACAAGCATCTCACAACACGCAAACCCTGTTCCCATACCCTACCATCATAGAGGGGTAGAATATAGGGTTGAAATTATAGGGAGAATGGAAAAGAAAGTGGAAACTACTATAGTTTAATAGGGTTTAGGGTACCGTCAGCTTACAGCGCAAAGCAGCTGCTGAACTTATAGAGACCTCTAAGCCTAAGCGAGAACCTTTGAGTATGTACTTCAAGCCTGCAAAGCCACCGCTACCAACACAAAACAGCTTGAATGCTACAGGCAGCAAAGGAGGGAGCAACAAAGAAGGAAGCAGCAGAAACCCAATGACGTCAACAGCAACCGCACAGCGCACCCTAACCCCAAACCCTAAATCCTAAAACCCTATAAACCCTATAAATCCTAAAAGCCCTAGATAATCCTATAAACCCTATAAATCCTATAAACCCTATAAACCTTAGATAACGCTTAACCTAAGCCCTTCGTCCGGCCTCCCTCTCCTGCTTGGTTTGGAAGCTCTTACCCTGACCTCCGCAAGAGTGGCACTGCGACTGCCTCGTCTCAGGCTTAGGGTTAAAAGGTTGAGGGTTTAGGGTAGGGGTGTAGGGATTCTACATAGAGTTTTGGGCCTAGGGATCAAAGAAAGTATTGCGTAGGCATGTATTGGGATTGAACAAATTTTCCTTGAAGTTGCAGGGTAATTATAACCGCTCAGAGAAAATCAAATTGAAAAGGAAAAGGCAAGTGAAATGGAGACCTGGTTTCGAATAACAGGATCCAGGGTTTGGTGATTTGGTGGCATGATCTGTTTTTTTGGGACTTACTGAGTCTGGACTGCGTCGGTTTTTCGAATTCGTTCTGCTCCATCCCTCTCATTCCCTAGGTGAAAAGTGGCAAGATAAGGGGTTCCGCAGCGCATTCTGCATGGGGCTCCCAGATACAACCCAAATACTACCCATGTGGGCTACAGTCAATATTTCCCATATAACTAGCGGACATGGGTTCTTTATCCAGGACTATGTCAGGGACTAGACGACACTAAACTACAAGAGGAACCCCTATGTCCACTCATAATGGTCCCTTGGTCAGTCGAATATTGACAGAAGCGCATGTAACCATACTATCCGCCAGGCCTATGGATGGTGTGTTCGGTCACTCCTCTTGCGAAAAGCTTTTAGCAAAAGGAGATGGCAAACTAACCCTACATTGCGGATTTAAAATATCCCGCTTGAAAATCCTATGTAACCCTAAACCCTAAACCCTCAACCGCTAACCCCTAGACCCTAAACCGTAAACCCATAAACTGTTCATATGGGATTCAGATCTCCTCTGCTGGCTGAAATACATGGTCTGCCGCCGAGCGGCATCTGCTGGATCATGGGCCTCACCACAGGGTCTTACGGGTTTAGACTTTAGGGTTTAGGGATTTCCGGGTTCGGGTCTATGCTGGTTTGGCATGGTTTAGGGTTGGAATGTGACATGAAACATCTTGCACAACTAGAAGCAGCTATGCTGTTCAATGAGATAGCTGCCACAACAGCGGCCAAACAGAAAGCAGCCTCATAAGGAACCCAGCTTTGCACTTTTCATGTGTGTGTTTTCCAAGGTTAGGATTCCTTTTCGGGGAAGATTAAGGATTCTTGTATTTGGGGGTCTATATTGGGGCCTCCCCATTTACAGAAACTGCCATGCCTTGTTGATGTCTATCAAGGGCTCTCTCCTGTGCCCAAGCGAAAGACAAATCTTCAAACTCACTTGAGGGCCCCACCCAACTTGGCTTGGACCCTAACGAACCCGCATACACGTCGCCTACCCCACTTTCCTAGCCTAGATCCATGTACGGACATATCAATTTTAGGGTTTCGGGACATTTAGGGTTGAGGTTGGAGACGTTTGATTTCCGTATGGCCGATCCTCGAAAATCAGGCCTCCTTTATAATACATCCAATACAAGTCCCTTTTGCAAATTCCCCAAAAGAGACCCTTCCCTTTCAGAAGCCCAAGGATTTGGTTTCAAAAATTGAGCTGGCCCTTTTGGGAGTGTAGAACCTCTTCTTGGAACTCCTGTATACGGCTGGGGAGAGCGGGCCATAAAAAAGCCAAAAAACATATCATCGTGTGGTTAATTTGAGTATCCTTCACCCTACCCTCCCGGAAACTAACATGGAAACCCAAAAAGGGCCCTGTAAAGACTACAGTCCCTTTAAAAGGGGGTCAAATGGGTTTCATGTTAGTTGCGGGAGTGTAGGAAGACAAGGACTCGAACATTGTATTTGTAAGCATCACTAAAAACCACAGTATAACCATAGTTTCCATTCATGCCATCTGCATTTGTCCAATGTGATTCTCCTTGTAGGTTGTCTTCGCCTAAACCTAAGTCTTTAAAACCTGAGCCCTAAACCCTGAATCCTAAACCCTATAAATCCCTTGTATGACTTGTATTGGTAATTCAGGCGCCTACCCGAAATCCTGAACCCAAAGTTAGACCCTATATAGAACCCATATAGCCCCAGTCTCCATGTGATCTGACCCCAAAACCCCTAAACCCTCTGAACCCTCAACCCCTAAACCCCCCAAACCCCGAAACCACCTAACCCCCCTGACCCCTTAACCCCCCCCCTAAACCCCCCAAACCCCCTAAACCCTGAAACCCCTAGGTTGCATGAAGCCGGGCGGCCCCATGCGCACGACCTCAACTTTCACGCCGCGGCCGTCACAGTCGCGGCACTCCTGGACGCCCTTCTTCTTGTCGATGACCTACCCATAATATAGAGTAGAGTATAGGAAACTACTATCGTATAATAGGGTTTAGGGTTTGGGGATATAAGGGGTTTAGGTTTTAGAGTTTGGGGTCTAAGGGTTGTTAAGGGGTTTAGGGGGGTTGGGGCTTCAGGTTTTCCAGGCGTTTAGGTTTAAGGACTGACGGAATGCAATGTGGGAAGATATTGGGCCTATGGTTGGGGATCATCTGGGGAGTACACCCTCACTCCCTACGCACTTTTCCCGCATCCTATCCTAAAGCCGTGCCTAAAGCCAAGCTACTAAACCAACCAAGACCGACACCCTCTGCGAGCCAGCCGGACTCTCAGTTGAACGTATGGGTCTCGAAAAAACAAGGAGTCCCTCTTCACAGTCCTACAACTAGGAATATACGATATAAGAGTTATTGGTCCCCTTGAGTAGGTAGAGCATGGCTTTGGATATGTTATACTAAGATCCCCTTATACCCCATATTCTATCTACTTAAGGGGGACTATATGTGGGGGCCCCAGTAGCTATGGAAACCACCACATGACATGGCACGGACGCCCAAGTTGCATAGCCTGTCGGGTGATAGCCATCTTCTTGGTGGCACCGGCGTACATCCTAGGCTGGGGTTTAGGGTTGAGGGTGAATTCAATTTAAAGATGTTGGTCCAACAAGTGAAGCCTGGTAAGGGTTTAGGGCTTAGGGCTTATAGGATCCCAATCCGTATGAATAATGAATAGTCACCGAAAAGCATTGCCGTTAAGGAACTCAAATTGACTAATATATGGGTGTGTATATACATTTTTATAAATATGGTTTCCCCAATATAGTAACTTATATTAAGTTTCTTAGCAGCAACCCAGAAAAGTCAAATCGTGAGGGGGTGGTCATCCCTTTCACCCTTAGGGCCTAAGGGTAATCCTCCACTCCGAACCCCTATTATAATACAGTAGTTTCCATTTTCTTTTCCATTATCCCAATATAAGCCCTATATAACCCCAAATATAAACCCTGTTATAATATAGTGAATATAGTGGTTTCCATTTTCTTTTCCATTATCCCTATATAACCCCAAGAAAAACCCTTTCGAAACCTGCATACAAGCTGCTGCTCGAGGGTGACCTTGAGGTTCTGCACAACGTCCTGGCTTGGCCACAGCTGAGTCCGACACTGAATCATAGGACCTTTTCAGAAATACATACATGTATATTGGTAGTTTCCCTAAATTACTGTTCCCAAAATGGGGGAAATTTATATAGGGCCCCGTATTATAATGGGAACCCAAATGTAGGACCCCGTATTATAGGGAATTTAGACCAATCCCCATATATACGTATGCATGTATACACATATATGAATATATATATATAGCTATGTAAGCGTGCAGAAAAGTATACAACCTTGTAATAAAAATGGTTGCAGTCCAGGACCCAGGCGTGCTGGGCAAGACTGCCAGTAGCTTTCATGCTCATAGCCGTAACATGATGATTCCTGTTTGGGGTGGTTACTACGTGAGCTGAGCTATAGTCTAAACTCCTACTACCACCCTTAAAAAAAAGAAGAAAAAAACAACTATAATAGTCCCCTATATAACCCCCTAAATAAACACCCTTTAAGGAGTTTAGACCCTAAGCCCTATATAACCCCCTTTAAGGAGCTTTAGCTTATGTATCATCACTAAAGACTTCTGACATCTGCAATGGCACCTTGGTCTTCTGGCGTTTGCGCTGGCCTCCCCGACGGCCACCTCCTGGCTCATAATAGGATTTAGGGATTAGGGTTTAGGGTTTTGGATTAGGGTTTTGGGTTAGGGTTTTGGGTTTTGGGTTTAGGGTTTAGCAGAATATCCGGGGCCTTTAAAATGAGAGGGCCCAAAAGGGGGTTTAGGGTTTAGGGTGCCCTAATTTTGACAACGCCCCTTGCACCCACATGCGCAACTGCCGCTTTTCCCCTACAAATGATCATCCTCCCTCCCCCTGTCGCTGTAAAACGCCTTCTGCCTTCTGGGGGTATCCTAAACGGAGTAGTGGCAAACGGAGAATACGTATCTCCACCATCTATATGTATATATATATATATACCTATCTATCTACTATTCATACATATATGTACATGTACATATATATATATACATATTCATACACAGACGCACATACATGTGCATATTATATACCTATATAGATATATAATTGGGCTATTTTGAGTAATCTATTAAGGAGCTTGGCGGCCTTGCCTCCTCCGAAGAAGGCTTCAAAGATGTCGGAAGCGTCACCGGGCCCGTCATTATCCAGGCCTTCCTCACCTAGGGTTTAGGGTTTGGGGTTTTGGGTTTTGGGTTTAGGGTTTTGGGGTTTTGGGTCTAGGGTTTGGGGTTTTGGGTGTTGGGCTTAGGGCTTAAGGTTTTGTTTTTTTGGGGGGGGTTTCGGGTTAAGGGATTAGGGTCTACGGTTTAGGGTCTAGGGTTTTGGGTTTAGGGTAGGCCAACGTTTAAGGCTGTTTTATATGGATTATAGGGTATATATTGGGGTTGCATAAGGATAATGAAAAATGGAAACGACAATAATAGGTGCTGGTTAAGATAGGAGTTTCCAAAGTTAAGTTGCATTCACATTCAGAGCTATGGGGATTCTGTAGGAATACTACCACCCAAAATGGAAAAGAAAAAGGAAATGCGGAGCATATGGGCATGTATATGGTTTAGCAAGGCGGGCCACCTCGACACAGACGCATGGGCGGTTCCTTGGTAACGGTCCCACAGCATAGAGACAAGTGGGCAGCGCGTATCTATAAGGATCCATTCCTTCATTGGTTGCTAAACCGTATATATTCGTACAGACCCCAGTTTCCTTTTTCCGTTTGATTCTCATGATGGGGGTAATCCCAATATAGTCCCCTATGCAAACTCTTTCAGGTCTCCAGGTGATCAGCAGGAGGCGCAATGATTCCTGGACTATCTCTGATACCAACTCCTCCTTTCCGGGGTAGGGTTTAAGGCTTTGGGATTGTAGGGTTGAGGGTTGAGGTCTCAGGGTTTTCGCGGGAGTGGGCAACGTGTCGTAGTTCCCACTATCTCAACTGCTGGTACTCTGCAAAAAAACCGCTTGGGCTGCGTCATGGCCATTTGTTGATGGGTCGTCTATGTCAAGTGTGAAGCTTTCACGAGTGCAGAATCACTGGGTTGCCTTTAGGGAGCTTAATTTAAGTTACTATATATGGGGAAACCATATAAATCACTATATGACGCCATTTAGGTAACTCAATTTGAGTTCCTTAACGGTAACCCAGATCCTTGGTCAGCTGGAGAAACGGTTCACATTCACTACAGCGATTTCAACACATAGGACTCCTACCCAACAAACGGAGCTAGAACGAAATCAGCGCCAGGTTGAAGTGCCTGTCTCAGCAAGATTCTTACCCTTGGCTAGCCGGGAATGAAGGAATGGAGCAGAAAACGAAAACTACTATAACGGGTTATACAGGGACTACTATAAGGATCCCTTCCTTCATTCCTATCTAATGAAAGGTAAGGATTGGCTCTACTCTGGTAGCCTGATGCACGACAAGCTAAAATTGTTGTCTCCTGGCGATGCTAGCTTGCCAGGGTTCCCTGGATGAAGGAGTCGGAGCTTCGTCAGATATGTTGAAAGGAAGTTGGGTTCACGGTTTAGGGGGGCATTCTGAACCTACAAAATTAAGTGGTTCTAATCATTCTAATACGGGCGGTGACCAAGCTTTTGCCATATGGTTGTCTTCATAAATAGGGGAAACCGCATACATAGCGACCCCAGGATACTATGATCCTTTCTTAAAGCAACCCCCCCCAAAAGGGATCATAAAGCATTATCCCTAGTTTTGGAAACTCCCATTTCAACATGGCATTCGGCTCACCGCCGAGAGCCGGACCAAAACGGTTGTACTTCTCTCGCTTGTCAGCATCGCTCAACACCTCGGGGACATCATCTGAACTATAGTCTAAACCTTAATAAGCCCTATAATAGTTCCTATATAATTCCCTATATATATATATGAGCCCGATAC